CACACTTTTTAAATGGTCACAAAGTAAGTTCAAATTCAAATGTAGTACCTACTCAGACAGTACATGATTTCAGATGCACCGAGTGAGTCTGAAGACCTCGATAAGTTGGTTCAGGTGTGTTTAAGTAAGGTTGGAGCTAAACTCTGGAGTGGCCCTCCAGGAACAGGTTTGGACACCCCTGTCCTATAGGGTCACGGGTAATTAAAAATGGTTAATATATATTACTTTTATGATTAATAAGGAATGGGATACCAAATTCATAGAAAAAGTGCTTGCAAAAGAAAAAACACTGCATAGAGATTATAAAGCACTTTCTTGTGTTTTAAGCTTCCATTTCAGATTCAGATTTGAGAGTAGTATTTTTTTAACCTTTATTTAACCAAGGTATGTGTCTATAACCCCATGTTCTGACTGAAAACGTTGCCATGGGGAGCAAGAAAAGTCAGGTGACCAGGGAGCCAGACTGAACCCCTGGAGAGATTTGCAGGTGAGATATTTTCTCCTTCGAGCCAGTCACAAGTCGTTTCCCAACAAATGTAGACTGTTTCTCCTCTACCTTATACTCTTCAGGCACAGTTGGGAAAGAGACATCTGAGTTACTGCAGGCAAATCACTGCCGTTACTCCAGCTGACAGAAGACGAAGAGAGACAGTATGCATCTCATAAGCAGGGGGAACATGGTGTGATTTATCAGGCACAAGGCAGCATTGTAATGGAGCTTTGCACTACAGCACTTATGTAAACCTCCTTCACATCCACAGCGCGTTTACATAACTGAACACACCTTCTGACACCCTGCGATGCAGACGCTCTCTCGTGCACTCTTGTCTCCTTTCTGTCACTATAGACCCCATCTGTACACAGCTGGGTGTTCAATAGTGTTACAAAAACATCCAGACTTTGACACAGTCACACATGTCTTGCACAAAACCAGCCTCTTCACCATCTACGCTCCGCTTTTGTCCTCTCACATTCACAGCCGCTTGCCTGTGACTCTGTCAGACCTGGGCGGTATGTGCAATCCCTTTGTCATGACTTCCATTAGTACACAGTTGCCATGACAACTGGCTCTTATGAAAGCTCTCCACGGTTTCCAAGGATGGATGTTCTATTGGCTCTTTTGAGATTTAAACGAAGCTTTTTGGCGCAGACTGACTTGCACGTCAGTGCTGCCCTAGATTAGTTTAAGCAGCAGAACGCTGTGTATTTCACACCTGTTGGCTATTTCAGATGGTCTGTTTTGGCAGTATAAGGTCAGGAGAGTTTTAATGCTGAGTGACAAGTACAAAATAGACTAGAACAGGAGTTAACAGAACATTCCAGGTTCAGTACAAGTTAAGGCATTTGTGGCATAATGTGATTACCATATAAAATACTTTTGAATACTTTCATCCTTTGTTTTCTTTTTTAAAAATCTAGGGCACTTATAACTTTAGTTTTATTATGTTGTCATAGCGAAAAGCATTTTTTCACAGTAAAAATTAATGCATATTTTTTACATAATGCTGTACTATTGAAACAGACAGTATTTTAACATTTACTGACTGGCACCATTAACTTTCATTGTTAATGGGGCCAATCTGTCAAGTTCCTTAAAGTAACCCAGATTTTTGCTTTTTGAGGTTCAAGCTAAAATTAATTTTGTCTTAAAAATCTTCTCCAGAACACAAAAGAATATTTTGAGAAATGTCTCATGAGAATTTTGTCCATACAATGGAAGTCAATGGTAACCAAAACAGTTTGGTTACCAACATGTGGTTACCAAAATATCTTATTGTATTGTACTACAACAGTTGCACAAATAAATATGGTTATTTGGATGTCCATGAAACACTTACTGTGATGAAATTGTTTCAGAGTAATTGTGCCGGAACCCAATCCTTCGAGCATGAAAACCTATTCCATTCTTTTTTATAGGTTTAGCTGAAATAAGCAATTGAAATATTTGCGCGGAGAGCTGACGGTTAATAGGCACTTCACTGCTTACTGCTTCGTTTGTGAAAGTTTATTTCTATTCAGCACTCTTTATTGATGTCTGTTGTCGGTTTGTTTTATTTATAACTTTAATCTTTTATCTATTCTTATGGTTCTTTTATTATTCTGTGATGATGACCAAACACTTTAAACTCCCATAATGAACTTATGAACTTATTTTGGGCCTTAAAACAATCTCATTTACAGGATAAAGTTACATTCTCAACAAAAGTGGACAGAAGAGGGGCAGCCACTGTCAAACCAATGGATAAATGCATAAATACCACAATAAATACACCATCTGATTTCATGGGCCATATATCCTGCAGTTGCTCCAGGTACAGGTGGTTTCTATGTTAGTTATATTAAGCCTGGTTTCACATGCCACTTCTTTTATAGACTACCGCTGGCAATGAAAGGTGATTCGTGGACTCGCAGTGTATGAAGTTGTTGCTTTAGGAGTTTAAGGGATATAAATCACCTTTTAAGATGCGCTGCAGACGACCCTCTCAATGACGATGTTTGATGTTGTAAGGATGAAGAGGTGCAGGAGTGGAGGCGGGTTCATGTGGGAAGTGGACTTTAAAAAGGGTGAACATTGCTTTGCTCTGCTGAGCACAGCTGCGGCACATCGAGCACAGTCTGCTTGAAGGAGAGCGAGAGGAAGGAGAGGAAAGGGGTGATTTTGCTGCAAATGTGAGGACAAATCTCTTAACGCAGCCCCAGGGCTTTTGTGGGGTTATTCAAAGGTTATGAATAAACAGTCTCTTCTCAATTCAACTCGTTAATTGTGACTAAAAGTGAGGGTTGCTATTATTCAGTTGGACCAGCTGTCCACAAAGCAGATTATATTGCTGGGGTTTGTGCTTGTACACGAGAAGCATGTTCCAGGATGATAAATGATGAGTGTTTTGTGTCAGTGTGAAGGTGCAAGCTCAAGATTTTCAGTGAATAAAGCTAACCAATCCCATTCAGTGCTCAACAGATTAGAGAGTCCATCACCTTATTCACTCTGCCATCTCGTTTCCCTCTACTGGCTATGCTTTCACATAGATGGTTCCCAAGGGCTTCACCCACACCTGTCATTTGAAGACCAAAGGCATGTTGTGCTAATTGATTCTGTTTCATAAACAGTAAATGATACCCTTGATATGGGGATGGTGAAGAGGATCTCAGTACAGATGATGCACCAGCTGAGTAACAACAAACAAATTATATTCCCCCAACACACACACACACAACCATGGCTCAACTAGACAGTTTTTTCTCAGATTTAGGCTTTCAATATCAGAATTTGAAAGGGCTTTGAATCATAAAGGGCAATGGTATCAAGAAAGATTTAACTTGCAATGAAAAAGACTTTAGCGTAAATCCTGTCCACATGTTCTATACATTATTTCTGGAAAATGTTTTGTGGTGCTTGTGCATCGTTTAGCACAGAGACCTTACATTTGTGTATCTCTGGGTCCATCTGGTGGTAAGAATAGAAAAATACTTTTTGTGAATCAACCAAAAAATGCAGATGAGCTGAAGGCCACTGTCAAAGAAACCTGGGCTTCCATACCATCTCAGCAGTGCCACAAACTGATCACCTCCATGCCACGCCGAATTGAGGCAGTAATTAAAGCAAAAGAAGCCCCTACCAAGTATTGAGTACATGTACAGTAAATGAACATACTTTCCAGAAGGCCAACAATTCACTAAAAATGTTTTTTTTATTGGTCTTATGAAGTATTCTAATTTGTTGATAGTGAATTGGTGGGTTTTTGTTAAATGTGAGCCAAAATCATCACAATTAAAAGAACCAAAGACTTAAACTACTTCAGTCTGTGTGCATTGAATTTATTTAATACACGAGTTTCCCAATTTGAGTTGAATTACTGAAATAAATTAACTTTTCCACAACATTCTAATTTATTGAGATGCACCTGTAGAAAGAACCATTCTAGAATTATATATTGAACAGTTATATAATATATGTATAAATTATTCTAAAGTTTATACACTACCAGTCAAAAGTTCAAAAAAGTTCTACCAGTTATAATAAATAATTATGTTTTTGTAATGTTGCTGAACAAAGTCTCTGCTCACCATGCCTCCATTTATTTGATTAAAAATACACTAAAAACAGTCATATTGTGAAATATTATTACAATCTGAAATAACTATTTTCTATTTGAATTTATATTCAAATATAATGTATTCATGTGATGCAAAGCTGAATTTTCAGTGTCACATGATCCTTCAGAAATAATTCTAATATACTGATTTGATGCTAAATTAATACTAGTGCTCAGTTATTAATAATGGTTCTTATTATTATCAATAATACTGTTTTTGCTGCTTAATATTTTGTGGAAACGTTTTTTCAGGATTCTTTGATGAACAGAAAGTTAAGAAAAAGGTGCAAAAGGTGATTGTCTTCAGAAACATTTTATGTTATGCTGGTTGAAAGTCTCTTCACATCCCCATAGCAATCATTAAGTTAAGTGGTCTAAATGTATTTGTCTGTATTTATATATTCTGTGAAAGGCATGGGACCAAGAAATGTTCGTCCAATCAAAACGCTCGAGGTTCGAGCGTTTTAATTGACTTTCTTACCTGCCTGTCAACGTAAGTATCTGCATACCTCTGCGCGCCCGCTTCGCGCAGACAGTGCGTTCACACACACTGTGCAGACAGAGGGAGAATGGCAGACGAATGCCTTGTCCAAATACCCACACTTGCGGTCTTGGTCTTTATTTAAAATAGAAATGTTTTGTAATATTATAAATGTTTTCACTGTCCCTTTTGATCAATTAAATATAAATAGGGGGGAGTGGGGTGATTTGTGCCTGTGGGGAAGTTGAGCCACCCCATGTTTCTACACATCCTTTGGTAATATGTTGGTGATAATTGGTGATATGACCTCAATTATATGAAGAGTTAATCATTTAACTAACCCTGTGATGGAGAGAATCACGTGGAATAATTGGTAACTACATTTAAGTTAAAAAAAAGTTTTTTGCTGTTCAAAGTGAATTGTGTATGTTGAAGACTTGCTTCTTGTGTCTGAACAATTACAGACAAATCTGAAAAAATGTCACACGTGTTTGTGCTTTAGGAAGTTATCATATGAGTCTAAACTGTTAGCATGATGTTAACTCTAAACTGCTAGATGATAGTTTGTTAAAATGGTAGGAGTGGGTTCATTTGAGCTGAAAGTCCTGGGGTAAGTGGCTCACCCCTTCTTATGATTATAGAGAATTATTTTACTGTAATTCTACATTATATATAATTAACATATATAAATAAAAAAAATTATTTTGTTCTTTGTTTTGAACTTGATTTGTATTTTAAATAGGCCTTGTTTATGAAAATTGGCCATTGAAGTTTTTATGAAATAGTTTTTCCCTGCAACATTTATAATGGGATGTTGAGTACTATTAGGCCAGTTATGTAAGGTTAATTGCAGTCTGTTTTTTGTTTTTTTAATTCTTCAGTTTGAACTTTTTTGTTCTGAATTTCTTAAAATAATTTTAAAAATGACCTCAAGGTTGTGAACTGTATCTTTAAATAAAACATTTAAGAAGTCATCCATCCATCCATCTAATTCCATTCTATTATCCAAACCTCTTTGTTTTATTAGGGTTGCGGGGAGCTGGAGCCTAACCCAGCATCTTGAGCCACAGGTGGGGAAACTCCCTGGATGGATGGTCAGTTCTTCACAAGGCTCACATAGATTTTAAGAAGTCTTTTATTTCTCTTCCTTTGATTTAACATTAGGTGAAAATGTTCAGTTTTACTTCCGCATAATCAATGGCACAGTTTAACTCCATGTGGCTCAACTTACCCTCTCCTAGGCTCACTTTACCCCACCCTGGGGGCAAGTTGAGTCAAGAGACCACTTTTTTTTTTTTAAAGATCCAAAATGATTATTCCCAAGGATGCACCACATTCTGAAATGTATGTACATATTTAAATTGGACCCATTTCTGTCATGTGCTAACGTTCTCCTAGGCTCCCTTTCCCCCCCCCTGGGGCAAGTTGGGTCAAGAGGCCACTTTTTTTTTTTTTAAAGATCCAAAATGATTATTCCCAAGGATGCACCACATTCTGAAATGTATGTACATATTTAATTTGGACCCATTACTGTTGTGTGCTCGCTTTAAACACACCGTAAGTAAAAACTGGCTCAACTCACCCCGCTCTCCCCTATCTAATGCTGGAAATATTATCATTTTGAAATACAGAAAAATGCAGACAAAGATGCTGAAAGAGATTTGTTTTCTTTATTCCTTCTGAAGGTCAAAGGTCTGTCTCTTGGCCTAGAGAGGGACAGCTGTGTGGTGCTTATAGATCTCTGGTCACTTTCTCCCCATATGGATCAGCTCAGATACAGCTGCTCTGAGGGACCATGTGTCTGGTGTTGGATGACTCTGTGAGTATGAGACACAGCAGCTGAGCCGGGGCACACACCACCCTGTGGTCTCAAGCAGTTGGTTCATGTATGTACACACTAAAACTTATGTTTGCCCACATGCAGAGAGTCATGCAAGTCGAGAAATCATTTGTCTGAAAATTACACAGAGCACATTATATAAATAAGGAAGCAAATAAGGCAAATATGTGTATATAGTGCATAGAAGTTTGTATACGTGTGTGTGTTTCCACAAATATAAAAAACGAATTCTAAACCAGTCCTAACACATTCTAAACAAGTCCTAACACATTCTAAACAAGTCCTAACACATTCTATAACACATCCGAAGCAATTCCTAACACAAGTCCTAACAATCCTAACATTAAGGCGATGGGCTGGAATTCCTCGTAAACTATAGTGTTATGGTTATAATTTACGCAACAAACATACAAAACACAACGAGGTAAATCACATGCTTAAATAGAATTCACTGGTTATTTCTAACATAGCTAGCCTACTTTCCTATGCTTGCATCGCGTTGTATATTTGCAGTGGATGTTCACACAAGACATCAGCAACGACGTCTATAAACTCTTGGTAAGAACGTGTCAACAAAACAAATGAATATAGGCCTACAATTATTATTTTATTAGTAAAATAGAGCATTCAGAACTCCTGACACTTCATTTTACCACTAGATGGCACTAAAGAACTACCGTTCGCTGCCATACATCCTAACTGTAGCTTGTTGTTAATTTATAACTATAAAACTATGATGTAATTAATATTAAATATTAAAATAATAATTGGACAAGTTTTGTCAGGCATTTTAGCTGTGTTTTAAGTTAGCTGTGTTTAGAATACATGCATTCCCATAGCATCTCCCATAGCAATCGTATACTTCAAAACTGCTTGTCCTCTGTAGGTTCGCGAGGATGCTGGAGATCGTACATTATATTAATACAAAATGTATATTATAATATATTATAGCTCTATATAGCCTTCTGCGTGGACAGATTGCAAGACATCTGGGTCTGTTTATTGGTGAAGTAATGAATGTTATGCTGAGTAAAACTGCGGTGGGGGTTCAATTGAATGTGTTCCTACTTTTGACACACCGACGTATAACAATAGGCTACATGACTGAAACATGAGTGCATTACAGTTTCTGTTAATACGCAAGGCTTTAGATTATAAACAAAGTCACATTTGGAGACAGAAGCATTCAGTTAGTTAACATAAAAAAGGAACATTCAAAATGATATAGTCATGAATTAACAATCAAACTCAGTATCTGTAAATCTGACGCAAATTACTGTAAAATAGCTTTTTTTTTAAATTTTAAAAAGATGAGAAAATGAAGCTGGCACCAGCTGGTGTAAACATTACGTTATGCCGGTTAGACCAAGAACTGCATGACTGAGTCTCAAGGTTGATGACGAGAAGAATGCGATAAGGAGAGTATTAAACAAAATAACAGGTGGTTTTGTTTACCAAAGACACTATCAGTGCAGTAGTGAGTTCACTGTTTCAGCCAAACTGGCACTGAGTCATGCCCGCTTTCAAAATCAAGCATTATCAATAACAATAATCTGATTGTGAACCAACAAATGTCAAGGGAGATTATACATATAAATTAATAGATATAACATATTGTCATAATGTTTTATTATTTTTCCTGGACACAAATATTTTAACATAACTACTTCATTGCTTATTAATATTTGTAATCAAAAATGTGATTACATGTGACCAACAAAGACACATGCTAGAGAAACAATCAGCAGACCCTCATGACTGTGTGTCAGGGGAAAGAAGTCTCTCAAAATACCAGATCATTTGAGTTTGGTTCGTTTAGGTCATAAAATGTAAACATTTGTGATTTATTGAAAATGGTATCAGTTTTGTTTCAAAATTATATGGAGCACATTTCTGTGGCCAATTAGAATTTTAACAGTGTTGGGGGTAACGCATTACAAGTAACGCGAGTTACGTAATCAGATTACTTTTTCAAGTAACTAGTAAAGTAACGCATTACTTTTTAATTTACAAGAGAATATCTGAGTTAATTTTTCAAATAAGTAACGCAAGTTACTTTTTTTCTCCAATTTATTGATTGACAGCTCTCCTGTCCCCATGTTGAGAGAAATCAGATGTTACTGTAGTTCAAAATAAATATGAATATGCATTAATTCATCAGTATATAATTGCAATAACTGCAATAATTAAATGTTAAACAACACAAACATACTTTATGTATTTAATCCCATTCTATTAACCAGTGTCTTTGCTTCTGACCTTCGATGATTCAGTTCAACCGTACTAATAAGCACAAATTACTCTAGACAAACCATTACTCTAGTGTGTCTTTCTTTTATTGCTGAAATTTCTTCTTCTGCATTCTACTGTACGGACGTAAATTTACATTTCCTTCAGCCAGAGGCTTATTAATTTCACTTTTGGTGTGAAAAGGCTTTTATATTTGCCAAAAATAGAACTTTTTTATTTTAAAAACAAACAAGCAAGCCCTGTCCAGATTTAAAAAGTAACGCAAAAGTAACGTAACACATTACTTTACATAAAAAGTAACTAAGTAGCATAATTAGTTACTTTTTTATGGAGTAACGCAATATTGTAATGCATTACTTTTAAAAGTAACTTTCCCCAACACTGAATTTTAAAATATTGAAAATAATTTTCTTTGTCATGTCATTAATCCATTTAGAGAAAACAATCATCTAAGTATCATTCTCAGTCACATTTGTAATGGCACACAGTTAGAATAAGAAACAAACTGCTGTCAGAAAGCCTGGCCAGTTACTGGTCATCGTTCAGGCACAGAATGGATGTGCAATGTGCATTGCCCTGGAAGAACTTTATTATTTCTCAGTATCAACAAAGTGGTTTTCTTGGAACATGACAGGGTGTGTATGGTTACATTCCCTCTCTCGCTTATCATGTACATGCTTCTGACTTTCTGGACTGAGGGTGAAAAGACTACAATGACACACTAAACTATAGTTAATTGAATGGGTGGCACTTCAAAAGAAAACAGATCTTGATAAGGTTTGGATATATTGCTTTATCCAAAACTAGGTCACTGATATTAGTGACGTGAAGGTGCCCAGTTCAACTGATCCATGTTCCAGAGAGTTTTAATAAAAGTCTTTCTTACATGACTACAGTGTTCTGGTTCTCAGGAGCTACCGTTTTGTTCTTTCCACTATGTGACCTCAGACAGAACACGCTCTATTGTTGCTGCTACACTGATCTGACGAGAACACTAGGATCTAGGCTGGAGGGTAAAGTAAATAGTACAATATTCATCCTACAAATGGAAACCATCATTAAAATTAAAGGAATAATCATGAGTTTAATACAAGTTAAACTCAGACGACATTTGTGGCCTTACCTCAAATTATGCTAAAATAGGTTACAGAAGCACTTACAATAGAAGTGAATGGAGCCAATTTGTTGCAAGAGAACAGCTACAAGACGTAAACAATATGCTTGCTAACTTTTTCTGTGAACAGTTATACCCAATATGTAGGCGTGACGCCTAAAATTACCATATAAATTAAAAACGTGAACGTCACAGCTCAAATAATGCACAATTTTTAACAGAATGAATGGAAGTGGTTTTATAATATAAGCTCCACATTTATTTTACATTCTCCAAAAAACTGTGGGCCGCTTTTAAACCTCGCATTGCCTCTGGCGTTATGATTGCGCAGTGCACACGATCAACTCTCGTTATACAAAAACAAAGTGCGATCGGGTACCATGTGGGAAAAACACTCACACAAAACGATCACTAGTTCTAAAATACATCCTGCGATTAAAAACAAACACACCAGGTCATCTTACCTCCAGGAGTTGTTGAAAACACTGTTCCTCCAGGAGTTTGACTGTAGCTGTCAAGGAGTGGAGACCGGTTGGAGCGGCTTGGAATCGGGCAGGTCGACGAGGCTTCGCAGCTGGTTGACATGATGAACCTGAATTTAAGCTCGAGACTTGAATGCACACGCGCTAAGATCTTGGCCGATCTGCTGTAGCCTTGAGTGTCTGTGCGCTGCACAAGTAGTAAATCTCTAGGGAGGAGATTTCTCACGTGCTGCAAACGTGGACATCTGGCCAATCAGAAGGACGATTCCACCACCGACGCGCAGCGCTGAGGCCCTCAACAGGGAGCAAGTGTTTAGAGCCATTTCATGGAACGTAAACTCTTCGAACAGCACGAAATTGGGCACATGATGTGAACTCTAGGATAAGATATGACAACACCTTGTGCTGTACTGAAAGCCCGATCTACCTCTCAGGATGACCTATCCTGTCTACATATGCCTCCCCATATTTGCAGTACATTTTGTCATTGCATGCATGACCAGATTAGAGTTCTATATCCCAACAGTCTTTTTTGTGTGTGTGCGCTGCCCATATCACAAGACATCACTTTAATTCCTGGTAGATCACCAGATTTTCAGAACATAGGCATTTAAAAAAACGTGAAAGTTACGCCACAGAATATTTGTCTTAACATCAAGCACTAGTTTCTGTGCTTTACCCTATAGTTACCCATGAAATAGTCATACTTTTAACAGAACTTGGATTGAGTCGTCAACCATGTAAAAAAATAAAACTGATCGAAATAACACGCACACCAGATACATTTCCAACTTTTTATTGAATATTAAGGTAAATATTTCACATTAATACAGGCTACATAAAGTAGAGCCACTATACGACATGAAATTTACTCTCATTTTTAACCCTTTTTCAGTATGTAAACAATTATACAGGTATTTACCACTCTAAAAGGTCTGATTTCGTTCTTTAAGCAATCATCTAGGTCTTGGCCAAGTATAAATAGCGCACTGTCCTATTGAGCCCTGCCGACCAAGAACACTTTTACGTGGGGCTTAAATGTCAAAATGGCTATACTACTCAGAATGTATCCTGTTGAACAGGCAATTGATTTGTTCATAGACAGTGGTAAACACTAAATCCACACTGG